CATATAACAGTGATAACAATAATAAATTTACTTTAGAATCTTTAGATTCTTTATTAAAAAAAAAAAAAGATGATATACGACTTCAAATAGTGAGTCAATTTTTACATCTAGTTCAGGATCAAGAATATATCAAAATGGATACAAGAAATTTTCTTGCTCAAAGTTTAAATAAAGGTCCATGGCATACACAACTTATCCGCTCATGGACAAATCAATGGATCAACAATGATATAATTATTACATCCAATCGTGGTTACTATTCAAAAACCAAATCTTTACTTTTTCATGAAGATTTCAAATTACGAATTATCGAATATTTACGTGAACATAAATTCAAGTTAAATATTGCCGATTTTATAAAATTTATTGAGAATGAAATAATCCCTGCACTTGGTATAGAGGAAAAAACAAGTATTTCATACTTAACTGCATGTAAATGATTACATATACTTGGTTGGGAATATAAGAACCATTCAAAAAATATTTATTTTGATGGTCATGAGCATAAAGACATAATAATAGACAGACAACGATTTTTGCAACAGTGGATAGAATTAAGAAAACAAATAGCTACTTATCAAGGTGAAAACTTAGATCAGATTATTTTGCCTATACTTTCAGATGGTATTCTTGAAGTTGTTCCTGTTACTCATGATGAATCAATCTTCTATGCCAATGATGATACTATTAAAGCTTGGGATCCAATGGATGAAAATCGATTTCGTTGCAAATCACAAGATCTTAGCATTCATATTAGTGAATTTTTTTGTAAATCTATTGGATGGCTTCAGCTTTCAAAAGAAGAATATACCATTAATAATCTACTTCCTGACAATGAGCGGCTTTTATATACTGAGACTTGTGTTACAATATATCCTGGTATAAACCGTAATGACTGGTGAACAAACAAAGATGTGATTAAACAAGTAAAGAAATAAGCTATTCCAATATTTGAACGTACTCATCCAGAAAAGATAGCATTATTTATGTTTGACAATAGTTGTAATCATAATGCATTTGCCGATAATGCATTAGTGGTCTCAAGAATGAATATGAAAGATGGTGAAAAACAGTCACTTCTTTGTAATGGCAAAATGCCTAATGGTTTACCTCATATTATGACATTTATAGATGCTAATGATACAATAAAACCAAAAGGTATTCAATGAGTTTTTGAAGAACATGGTTTATGAATTCCAGGCTTGAAAAAAAAATGTAATGCATGTATACAACATAACTTTGATCCAATTAAACTGGATTGTTGTGCAACACGTATTCTTTCAATCCAGCCTGATTTTATGTCACAAAAAATACATTTACAAGAGGTAAGTTATAATTATATAATTAATTAATATTCAAAAATTAAAAAAAAAACTTATCTTTCTAGATTACGAGGCAGCAGGACATATGTGCATATTTTATTCAAAGTTTCATTGTGAACTTAATTACATCGAGTCTTTTTGGGGAGAAGCAAAGTGATATTTACGTCTTCACTGTAATTATTTATTCAATGACCTTAAGAAAGTTGTATCACGTGCATTAGCTTCAGTTAGTTTAACAAAAATTCGTCGATTTTCATGTCGTTCTGCATGTTATATAAGTGCTTATGAACTTGGGCTTTCAGGTAAAGCAGCTATCTTTGCAGTTAAAAAGTATCGATCTCATCATCGAGTTCCTGAAAATGTTTTAGAAGAATTTGAAAAATTAGATATGGTTGTTACATAGTAAATCAAGACTTAGAAACAAATTTTAATTTGTAAATATCAATCTAGATTTATATATTTAACCTTACATAATAAAAAAACTGTGTGCAAGATTATACAATGTATCTAAACTTTTATCGTGAATGAAGGACATTCTTTCTTCTGATTTGCTACACAACAACCCATATAGTTATAACTTTATGCACTGTTATTGTTTTTTCCGGCTAACCCGGAACCAGCAGTCACGTCATAATTAAGTTTAAGGTAAGTTTTTCTGCTTGAGGCATGTTAAGATTTGATCAGTAGTTTCTTTATTAATATCACTTCCTTCTTAAACCAGGCTTTTTTCTAATCCACGCCACAGTTCCTCTTTCGGCCTTACTGGATTCTAATTGGAGACAATGGTTTCTCTTTAAGGCAAGTCTTTTTATTAATTAAGGAGATGCATTTATTATCACTCTTTTACAAATGCGATCACTATCCCTTTTATTAGGCTATTCTACTTCTATTTATACTACTGGCAAATTACCCTAAGCTCAATATGATAAATACATTTCCCCACACTTATTTATATGCTCCATTTATAAAACTCCAACTAACCCACCACACCATCATACATTCTATCTTCATGACTAGTTGTATATCCGTTGCTAAATTCTGAGATGCACTAGGTGATTCTTTCATTTTTGACTTTTTAGATTCAGCATTACGGTTTGCCATTACTGGTGGTGGAGTATCGGATGGTTGAGTTTCACCAGCTAAATTGGTACTTCTGTTGGTTGGTTGCTGTTCTTTCGCCAGTTTTACTTTCATTAACTTATTATCGTCTTCCACAATTTCCGTCTCTGCATCACGTGATATCTTTGGACTCTGGATTCGTGTGACTGCTCAACTCTACATTTCTTTTGATTTGGCCAATTCCAGTGACGTTAGCGACTACACAAATGATCCTATCGATCAGGACGATGTCATTCATCCTTAATCTAGCGACGGTATTCGGTCTCCGCATCATCAACTTTCCTAGGATATTGCATCGGTGTAAGATCGTCAGCTGCCGGCATGCTACAGGTAAGTTGTAAAGTCTAACAGTTTTGTCTTTCAGTGCGTACGACTGTTCCATCTTGATTACAATTGCCGTTATTTTGGTGTTCGGGGTGTTGCTAGGGTGCATCGCATCACCGCTACGCACTCAGATTTCTGGACGGTACTCTCAATCGCGTTCCTATACTCGATCAGGAGTTCTTTTATGGGACTTTCTGTTCAAACCGTCTTATAGATCCTCATCATCATGCGCAGTGCTAGTTTTGTGAAGACACCCGAGTATGTCACTGTGAACTTTGTTCGGTACTCGTGTAGAAACACTCTTATTACTTGTTGTCATGATGCTGAAACAGTGTGCAGCCTGAACATCTTATCACCCGATGAGTATACTTTCCAAGTAATCACAGATATCGTTTCCCCTTCCTGATCCATCATTTTGTGCCCTGGTCACCCTGATGCATGTAATATGCTTGACTAGAGTATCATTGCTGGCATCGATAGTACGTCACATCATCCCAGAGCACCCTGTTCCTTGGATCATTCTTCCAGAAGCCCTTTTCGCTCCGATGTAATCTTCACCACATGATTCTACCGATATTTCTGTTGATGCTGTGAGTTGTTCCCTTACTAACACTTTCGTTTGTCCAGATTGGTCCCCAGGTCTTTCATCTGTTATGTCAATGGGTATTGGATAGTTAATTAAATTTTCCTAATTTTGGGTATACACAATTTTTATCGGGAGGGGGGGTAACAAGCGTCCAATCTTCAATCACCACCAAATGTTATTATTTTTTCCGACGAGTTTGTCACTAACCCGGGATCAGCACTCACATCACGATAAGTTTAAGGTAAGTCTTCTTGCTTGAGACATATTAAGATTTGGTCAGTGGTTTCTTTATTAATATCATTTTCTTCTTAAACCAGGCTTTTCCCTAATCCATGCTGCAATTTCTCTTCCAGCCTTACTGGATTCTACTTGAAGGCGATGGTTTCTCTTTAAGGCAAGTCTTTTATTAATTAAGATGTGTTTATTATCATTCTCTTACAAATGCAATTACTATTCCTTTTATTAGGCTAACTACTTCTATTTATACTACTGGCAAATTACCCTGCATCATGTGACTGCGCCACACCACACACATCCGTTTTGCATCAATCATATACTTTCACGTGATATTATATGGCACTAAAAAAATCCACTATTATTATTAAAATTGATATTTAATAAAATCTAACTACAAAAAATTTTCATAGTAAAATCAATAA